TTATTTTTCAGTAACAGAATACGAAATAATCCAAATGCAAAGAAAATAAAAGCAAAGAAAATAAAGTAGAAATAAAGTTAAATGTGATTAAACTTTAGAAATTAACCTGTGTTTTTTAATTAATGTCGCATAAACAATTTAACATATAGTTGATACATACAGTTGATAATTTTTAAGTGATGATAAGAGTGATCATAAATGTACTTCTGTACTTACTGAGCAAATAAATTTTACACATAAATCTCATAATCAAAAATATGTTACTTTTATTTGAAAGGTGGATTTATCAACGTCATAGAATTCTATCAAATGATCCCTAATCTTATTTGCGCATCTTATTGGCGCATCTTAATTTGGAACTCAGAAAATTTATATGTAATGTAAAATTGTAATTTATTTAATAAGGTAGCTGCGTGACGATGTCACGCGAAACCAGGAATGTAACATTACTGAAATATTCGAATAGATTATTTAGAGATAAATATATATCGGTTTGCTGTATATTTATTATTTGATCAGTGATAATATGTTATTTGGTTTTTATTTAGAAGATTTGATTATTTGGCATTAGTATTGTTTTTTAAAATTGAATTTTCTGCATGTATTAAGTGTGAAGTTTATTAAACGATGTTGTCATGATTATAGTGTTCATCAGGCCATCTTTCTAGTTCTTTTGTTTGTTCTGCATGTTTTTCTAGACGTTTGATTTCTGTACTGTGTGCAGTTGGCAATTTTATATTTAATATAGATTCATTAAAGGGTCGTAAAATTAACAAATCATTTAAACTACGTATTCTGGAAAGCATAACGTATTTACTGTTATAAGTATTAGTGTTTGATAGATCAATTATTGCTTTCTCTAAAGTTCGGCCTTGGCATTTGTAGTCAGTAAAAGCATAAGCTGGAGCTAATGAAAGCTGAAATCGTTGAAATCTGCGTTGTATTTTAGTTCCATCAAATTTCCATGTCATATACAGGCAAGCTCTTTTTACAGAATATATTGGTACATGGTTTGGTTGTAAGATCCGGTTGTAGTGTTAATCAATTCGATGATAATATATTTAGGGGGGTTTTTGAGAATCATGGTTTTTTTTATCTTGATCTATAAAGTGAATAGAGTTTTCATGATAAATTATTTGTTTGATAATTCCAGAAGTACCATTCGCCATATTATCACTAATACAGATGTTTATAGTTAGTATAACTTTCATCCCAATAAAAAGAGGTAGAATTCCACTGAGTGCATTTTCTTTTGTATCGGATACTGATAAAAATTTTTTACGCATGTTTCCTTTCAAAGGATGTCGACAATAAGTATCTTCTGCACATGAATAGATAAGTAACTTATTTCGTTTTCGAGCATTTTCTACGGTAGTATCAAAATTTAATTGGACTCGAATATCATTTCTTGTAACTAAAAATGTCGCATCATCCAAATGCTGATTATTTATTTGTTCATCTTGAATAATTCTTGAACGTAATGATGATTACAGTAGCATACCAACGTTCATTACAGATAAAAAGCACTATTATTTTCGCTCGGATTACTAATGCAAACTACCATATTCAATATCAAATTTCTCAATTCAATTAATGCAAAGATACAATATGTAGAAAACTATGGGAATAGTGCCACTCCCTTGCTGCTAATAAAGTGGTTACTTTAACATTTTTCAGATTTATCTCTAATCTCTTCCTCGCTAGATTAATACAGGGTAGGTTGAACCCAGTCATCAGCCTATTTAAGAACAGTGTGGGGTGTACACAGCTGTTTCTACTACTTAGTTGCAACAGTGTGGGGTGTTCACAGCTGTTTTATCTAATTTATTCAAACAGTATGGGGTGTACATAGCTGTTAATGCGCGAATGGTGCAGGGAATGTACTGCCATTTCTGGGTGTACAACTGCCTATTACTTCTTAACTACCCAGTTTCGATGTAAT